GTCAGTCTGCATGATGTTGGGGGAACAAAGAATTCTCCTACATGTGTCACTCAAGAGACCAGCCTATAAATAAATGGTCCTCTAAGCCTCTCCCATCTTGCTTTGGGGGAGGTATGGTGTATTAGGGCATGCTTTCCAGCTTTCCAGACCTAGATTAGAATGCCAGCGGTACTGTGAACTAGTTTTGTGACTGGGAAGGTCCCTTTACCTCTCTGAGCTTTGCATTCCTCACCATAAAATGGAAACATAAAATACTGTCTCCCTTACAGGGTTGCTGTGAGCATTAAAGAAAGGAGCATGTATTAGGCCCCTGGCATACTCCTAGTCCCATTAGCAACAGCAGGCTCCCCCTTGGTCTCCCACCCAACATTAGCAGCATGTCCAGTATTCGTGGGCACTGCATACCCTTCCAGAGTTACTGAGGTGTCCCAGGGAAATCTACAGGCTCTCTTGAGACCTGGAGCAGACCTATCCATAAGGTATAGCAAAGCTCAGAGACCTGAGTCCCCTGGGAGACTCCTGTCCAGGGTTTGGGAGTGAGCAGGAGGGGGCAGACACAGTGGGACTGACTGCTCTGGTATCTCTCGAAGGCTCTGATTCCACTCTGTCTCCTGCTTCTCCCTGTACCTGAGCAGGACTTAGTGTGAAGGTGGTGAGGTGAGGGAGGGAGGGTGTCACCTCGAATGGTATTCAGTGTCTCATGGCAGCAGCCAGAGCTGGGGTAGTGGGTCATGGGCACCCTCCATGTAGGGCAGAACTGTGGATGGCTCTGTACTGCAGCCAGGAGTGCCTCCCTTGAGGGACTCCTCTTTTTCTGTCCTCCCCTTCCAGTCTGTTGTCTACTGCCACGGCGGGCGCGTCGGCTTCTTCCAGGGAGACATCCGCCTCCTCTCAGATGACATGAAGGCTCTATGCCCCACCATCTTCCCTGTGGTTCCTCGACTGCTGAACCGGATGTATGACAAGGTGAGCCCCTCAGGGAGTCTCTGACCAGGCTGAGGGTCTAGATATCTGCATTTGTGGATGGGGTCTGAAGCCCCAGGCAGGCTTCCCATGCCTCCAACCCCAGGTCCTGGAAATGGCCTCTTCTCTTGTATTCCCTGACTCTCACCTGTTTTCTTCCTATTTTCAGGAATTTCTTGTCCCTCAATATGCCTAGACCTCAGTAGCATTGTCCTTTGGCTGGATGTCATACATTCAGTACCTCCTCTAGGGGCAAAATGGGGTGTGGCTTCTCTGTTGGCCAGTCTGGACCTCCTTTGGGGGAGGCAGTGTCCGGAGGTGGGACATGCAGGCCTAGCAGCTACTTCCAACTTCCGCTCCTCAGATCTTCAGCCAGGCAAACACACCGCTAAAGCGCTGGTTCCTGGAGTTTGCAGCAAATCGTAAACAGGCTGAGGTCCGAAGTGGAGTCATCAGGAATGATAGTATCTGGGATGAACTCTTATTTCATAAGATTCAGGTAAGAGAATGAACAAGTGATTATAGAGTGACACGGAAGTGTCCCATGGATCACCTTACAGGAGAATTAGAGTGGCTCATCCCAGTGGCCTATAGTTTTATAAAATAATAACTCATTTGGTCATGAAATCAAAGCTTAAGCTACTGTTGAAAGCTTTTTTATTTTTTAAATCCTCACCCGAGGCTATTTTTTCCATTGCTTTTTAGAGAGAATGGAAGGGAGAGAGAGAGAGAGAAACATAGATTTAAGAGACACATCGATTGGTTGCCTCCCACATGCACCCGGACTGGGGCAAGGGCCCTTGGCCGGAATTGAACGCTGGACCTTTCAGTCCACAGGCTGATGCTCTAACCACTGAGCCAAATTGGCCAGGGCTACCACTGAAATCTTAAAGGACTCATTTTTGTTATTTGGAGATGTGTTATATTGGTCAAAATGCAAGCAGCAGGAAGGACTTCTAGAAAGTAGGTCCCTTGACTTCCAAAGGCATTGGGGCAAGTTTGCCTTGGGTGGTCAGGTCCACCAAGGAGCTCCTGGGGCCTGAAGGTTCTCTTGGCCCTTTTTGTGGCCCTGGCCCATGGTGGCTTTCCAGCAGCATTAGGTTCTAGATCGATGGCCAAGAATCTTCCTTTGCCTTTTTAGTCCTGTCCCTTCAACCTTGCCCAAACCGGGCTGATCATGAATTACTCATTTTTGGATCTCCACTAAAGTTTTCAAGTTCTGCGTTATCTAAGGAATTTGTAGTTAGTTATAACAAAAAAAGTGGTTTTTTTCTTACTACTCTATTTTTAGCTATGAAAATTAATATTTAAACTCTCTTGGCCCAACTTACAGAAACAATCTATTTAAAGCATGCTTTGTCCTCTGCAGTACATAGTAAATAGAGCAGAGCACGGTATTGATTTATAAATGAAAAAGGGCTAGGCTATTATTGTGGAAGTGGGAAGGCATTGTCCTAAGTAATTGTTTTTGGATGCTTGCAAATGAGGGGAGAGTGAGGGAACAGCTGTGTATTTTAAGGAAAGTAGAACCAAAATTACCGAGTGCCTCGTAGGTTAATGGCACTTATCTCAAAAGACATAAAAGAGTTGGCCATATCTTGGGTTGAGTTGCACAGCTGATTGCGTTGACTCACTTTGAAGGAGAACGGACTTCCTCAGCTCATGTTGTACAGCCTCAGGCCTTTTCTCTGATCCCTACCCTAGGGTCCAAGTAGGGTCCAATTGTTGAATGTTGACCCTGGCTGAGGCTCAGATGAGTTAGATGCCACCTCCAGCAGCACAGACTTTGGCAGGTTCTTTTCTCCCCGCAGGCCAGCCTTGGTGGGTGTGTGCGGATGATTGTGACTGGAGCAGCTCCCGCATCACCAACAGTCCTGGGATTCCTCCGGGCAGCTCTGGGGTGCCAGGTATTACTTTCATGTGGCCTTCCTGGGGGCAATGAGATGTGTGTTAGGATAAGGCCAGAAACCCATTATACCCTTTACTGTACAGAGAAAGATCCTGGGGACAAGATTTTAGTGGGATAAAAGCTCAGTTTCTCAGGGGATGAAAACATCCCAGTGCCAGTAAAAGCCAGGATGACCTTTTGACATACTGGAAAGCCGAGGTGTATCCACTCTGGGAAAAGGGGGCCAATAAGCTCTATATGGCTCATCAGTGTGCTGCAGAATTTGTAGCACACCTGCAACAGTATCTCTGCATTCTTCAGCCTGCAAAATATCGCCCAGCCCAGAAAAGGAGCA